TTTTTTCTCTGAAACTAAAACACCAACCACTATGGCAACTTTCTCATACGAGAAACAAATAAACCACCTTTTAATTTTCAAAGGTTCAACAGAATCTCTTTGTTATCCAGGCCTGATACTTGGGTGTCATAATTCTCTCGCTTCAGAAAAGCCTTCTCATGGTCAAAATTCGACGCAGGAACATTTTAATCTAAAAATAATTCAAATTTCTCCAAAAATATCGTCCCCGGGTGGGCTTGAACCACCAACCTTTCGGTTAACAGCCGAACGCGCTGACCGATTGCGCCACGGAGACGACTGTTGGAAAAACCATAAGATTGTGGAAAACCATAATATCCATCCTTCCTGGGAAATCGTCAAGTTGTTTGGTGTATAGTCAGGACGAGGAATCCGTTGCAAACTCCTTTAATGAATTTTTACCTCAGTCGGCCGAAGCACTGTTGACAAAATCAAAGCACTTCCCTCTGAGTGTAATTACGATCTTACAAAAACAACCTTCGTCCCTACGCACTACCCATTGTCTGAACAATTTTCATTCCATTCTGTTAATTGTAAGCAAGTTGAACAGATCATCGCATCTTTACCATCAAACAAAGCGCCGGGCTTTGACAAAATCTCTTACGTGCGTAATCAAGGGCGGGTCTGTCAGTTATTTTGTCGCCGTTCACTCACGTCATAAATGCCTCTCTTGCAAGTGGTGTGTTCCATGGAGGATGGAGACAAGCAGTAGTAACACCTATTCCAAAGGAAGGAGATCATTAACAACCCAGTAATAACAGACCGATCTCGTTATTACCAATATTGTCAAAGGTACGTGAAAGAATTTCGTTGACCTAGCTGACCGCATACTTAACAAAAAATAACCATCTCTCAGCGAAAAAAAGTGGAAATAAGAAACTTCATTCCACAGAAACAGCAATTATCTGCTCCACAGATGCCATTTTGACTGGCATAGATAAACAGGAACTCTCTGCTACGGTTTTGTTGGACATGAGTAAGGCTTTTGATAGTATAAATCGCGATATTCTCCTTTTAAAACTACAAGATCTCGGCATTTCTAAACACGCTCTCGCGTGACCAGCTACCTGACCGACAGACACCAAGTCGTGCTCAAAATGCAAAATAGTGTCCCAAACTCAATAAAGTGCTCAAAAGGTGCTCAGCGCAATCGGGAAAGGCCTAAGCGTTAATCACGAACTTTTATATACCAAGCTTAAGCAGGTACTAATAAATCTATCACACCTTTATTATTTTGTCAGATACAGTTTTTTTTGTTGTTGGTCCTAAGTCAAGTGAAAAGCTGCTCACAGATCATTCCGTCACCAAAAAGCAGCGTTGTATCACTAGGTTCACAAATGAAACTAGAAATAATCTCTGTTCTTCAATTCTCTAGTAAGGTATTGTAAATTTTCTTTAAGAGCATTGTCGGTAATGATTATATTGTACTTTTTGAGACTAACTCCAATACATCACCAAGTGATGTACTGCAAGGAAGCACGATAATATAATAGAGGTTTCCCTTTTTCTCTTACAATTATACTCAATTCTAGGGTCTATTGTTGTTTAAGTGAAACTAATAGAACCAGTATAAACAAAATTAAAAGAAAAGAGGGTGGTCAAAATTAGCAAACTAGTGCTTTCATTGCAAGTCATATATTATGAATGATTTTGAGGCCTTTGATGTAATGATCTCTATCATAGGTAAAGTAATACTAATGGAGGTAGTGAAGAGTAACTGACGTATTTCGAATGATTTTTCTTTAAATTCCCTGTTCACCCCCAGAGGTTTAAATATATTGCGATTCTTCGTGTTATCAGTATAAATCTCCAAACAATTTTTTGCGTTTGATTAAATATTTCCCGATATATGCCGCATCAAAGTTACTCTTTTGGCGACGCCCTTTTGACTTGGTCAGGAGAGAATTACTGGGCCGAGTCTCGAGCCTACTACCTCTCCAACATTCAGTGACGTCACAGCAAGAACGAAAGTTAACTTCTTGTATAAGAACATGTGTCTTGCTGTAAACTGATGTGAAAATGCCGACTCGTTGCGTGGTCGCTGGTTGCTCAAATATACCAGATTCGTCTCAAATAATGTAACTTCGCGTAGTCAAGTGAATGTAGGTACATCGATCGAAAGACGTTCTGACTCTGACGTCATGAGCGACTTTTAGTTACCAGTATTAACTTCGCCCGACCAAATCAAAGGGGCGTGGCCAAAGGACGAACTTTGAGGAGGCATATCTCGGCAAATATTTAATCAATCAGAAAAAATTTCTCTGCGATTAATCCTGATAACGCAAAGAATGGAAATATATATAAACCTCTGGGGGTGAATAGGGACTTTTGATCATAAATAATAAAATAAGGTAGTCTGTAACAAATTGCGAATATGCACTCAAATTACGAATAGGGGGATTCACAAGGCTTGTGGTCTTTTCTTTAGGTGTTATCTGCTTTTTGATATGAAATCGATTTCAATCTTCAAGTAAATTAAAAATCGTTTTAACTACAAAACTATCCCAATTGACCTCCATTTTGAAAGTGGGAGTTTTTTCAAAATCTGCAATTACCTGTTCAAATGAATATAGTGAAACATGGACATGCTTCCAAATAACGAGCTGCAGCTTTTCAGAGAGACAAATTCCGCAATTGCCCCGAACAACACGACAATAATCTACACATCTAATAATAAAAAGCAAAGGCAATTTTTTTTATAAATGCTCTGTTTATAAAATTCCCAGTCTAATCTTTGGTCAATACACATTCCAATCGATTTCGCCGATGGAAGCTGCATCACTGGATGGTTGTTTACCATGAGAGGTGGACTTTGGNGGCATGCGCATATCACATCATGAGGGCTCACTCTACTTTGAGAAACTAAACGAAATGAAACCAGACGAGATATGACAAAACCAAAGAAATGAAGCGGTATATTATCGTATAAGGTAAAGATAACCTTTAAAAAGATTTTGGAGTAATTTTCAATCCATAAGAAGGATATTTATTCATTTCGCAAAGAAGGAAGAGTTACTTCTATAAGTGGCACATTTAAATTTTGTTTTATTTATTCGTGTTTGAGCTCCTTGTCAATAAAGTGATGAAATGACTTTTCGCCGTCATGTAAGTAGAAATTAAGACATGAATTGATTAAAAACATCTTTATGGACATTTAACAAAATCAAACTTAACCAAAAGGATCTCTTATACTTCCATCTGGATCAGAAAGATCCCAAAACATTTTACTCCTGATTTGTGCATGATCTTCCTATAACGAATTTTTGCCCCAAAAGGGAACGTAGAAGAAGGCATCCAGGAGCAAAGGCAACACATGAGCCTAAATTCAAAAAAATAAGAGAAACAGAGAGAGCATTTACTTTTTTGCTCTGGAAGTTAATATCTTTCCTTTGTTTTAATCATTTTTAAGGTCTCATAGAATTTGTTGCACTTTTCTGATCTAGTTAATTTTTTTTTCTACTTCTTTTTAATCGATCATACAACCTTTTCCTTAAATGGGGACGTAAAAGATATTCCTACATATTCGTGTAAGTTAGCGTTTTCGGCCTCGAAAGCATAATTAGAATAATTATTATGCCCTTTATTATCAAAAAGGATTATTATTATATAAAGAGCTTTTAATAATAACAGTTTTTACTTTGTAAGATCTCGTAAGCACCGAAAGTGACACCATAATGAAATGAAATGTACCATACCTTAAAAAATTCAACTAATCAGAATACAGAAACTCAAACATATATCTGATGCTATTACACTAAGCCTTCCCATTGTGCGCTATGATCTTATTTATGATCTTATTTATTTGTATTATTCATATTCCTCATATGCTCAGCCATTAAATTTTTCCAGAAAATATCCTAACGGTACTTACTGTAATTACAACTCACTTTCGAAGAGGAGCGAACATCGTAAATTTAGTGGGTGAATTGCAGATACAAATCGTGTGGAAAACACCCACTCTGACATGACAGCAGGCCCTATTTCAATCTAAAACGTCTCATCGATATTTACTCTTTTCTCGAAGTCATATGATGATGAATAATCATTATCCGTACATAAGATATTTCATTGAACGCCAAAGCGAAGCCGTCTGTTGAGGAAAGGTGAAAACGCATGGTAATGACCAGCAAATTTAAAGCAAACTATTCTAGCAACACAGACCCTTACCCAATTAGTGGCTTTGAGACAGCGGTAATTGCAAACTGCATCCTCGATGCAGCTTTGATGTTGCCATCCATCCTTGGTAATGCTCTTGTGTTAGTCGCCATATTAAGGACACCATCGACTCGTTCACCTTCCGCCATTTTTCTCAGCAATTTGGCTGTTTCAGATCTTCTGGTTGGATTGGTGGTACAACCAGTTTACATCACTACTGAAATGGCAAGAACCGTGCCCGACTTACAACAAGCAATAAGGATCTTAGGATTTGCTGGGTGCGGTGTCTCTCTCGCGACAATGACAGCCATAACACTGGATCGTTTCGTAGCTCTTCATTATCACCTGCAGTATCCAAATTTAATGACAACGAGCAGGGCGATCTATGCACTTGAAACTATTTGGTCCATTAGTGCTTTTTCTCATTTTCAATTTTTTGGTCGCGGAATATTTATCATTATCTTACGACTGTTGGCATCACAATTTTACTTTTAGTTTGCTTGGTTTGTATCATCAACATTCACCGAATTGTTCGTCGGCATCAGCTGCAAATTCACATTCAACGACAAACAGTGGAAAATTCAACTGGTACGAATAACCAGCTCACACGTCAATCAACCAGGAGTGCAAAAAGTATTTTCATATAGTTCCTCGCGATGATTTTATGATATTCTCCATTATTCATTGTTCTTTAATTTCAGGTATGACTAACGATTAAACAATATTTCTATGGACCTTCCCTTCCACCATAGCGTTCATGAACTCGTCTATTAATCCATTTTTATATTGCTGGCGTATGGCCGAGCTCCGAACGGCAGTTTTTAAGACAGCAAGGCTTTTATCTTGTAGAGAAACTGATGGAAGTGCTCCAACCTAAAACATTCAACGACAAGCAGTGGAAAATTCAACTTATACGAATAACCAGCTCATCCGTCAATCAACCAGGAGTGCAAAAAGTATTTTCATATATTTCCTCGCGATGATTTTATGATATTCTCCATTATTCATTGTTCTTTAATTTCAGGTATGACTAACGATTAAACAATATTTCTATGGACCTTCCCTTCCACCATAGCGTTCATGAACTCGTCTATTAATCCATTTTTATATTGCTGGCGTATGGC